CTGCCTAGCCCTCGATCACGAGAAACAATTCATTACGGAAAACCAAACCGCATGAGTGTAGACAGCGGCCGAAGTGCTAGTAAACAGCAAAATCAGATTATGAGCCAAATTCCTTGACTCTTGGGGTACATTTACTTCTAGGGCCCACCGTGGTATTCCTAGGGTGTCATAGAGGGATCCCGGAAACTATGATTAGTACTCCTAGGGATGTGCTGATACGTGTCTAGGATCTTGCACAGCTATGTCCATCTAAGCCATTGAGGAATTTAGATCCATAACGCCGTTAGAAGAACCACGAGCTCATGGACAGACAATATAAATTCGTGATGCGTCTGCTCTCGCATCCTCCTTGGCTATGTTCATTTCATCCAATATCGAAAGGGTTACCTGGCCGCTCTCGAAATCGGAAATCCTCAATCTTGCTAGACCTATCTACCGCATATAAATCTCTACCAACATCATTTTGATCATCAAATGCAGAGGTGATCCCTGTCTCCTATTACCGCTAAGGGAGTCAGCACGTCTACCTAACTTATTATTCCCGTACCTTAGGATTACTACCGCCACCGGTTTCACTAGTTCACTTAATCTCTCCGTCCACGATACCTCCACGCCACCGATCCTGCTTACCGTGCCGTATTTTAAAACAACGATGTAATCGCGAAGTACCTTCTTACTAGTCTTACGTTACTCGCGGTTCGCCCTATATTTATAAAGACACGAGTCCTCTAGACCGTGATAATCGGCAGCCACGACGATCTAAGCGACGGGACCAGTGTAAATCCACTATAGAATATCATCGGATACAATCGCAAGAGTCGCCTAATAATGGGATAACGGTCCTATAAGATTGCGGTCAACCCGCTATCTAGTATGGAGATGAAGAAGAAGCCCCCCACGTTCGTTAAGCATCCTTCGTGAAGGCCGCTAAATCCCTTAAGATATTAACAGAAGAACGCTCCTTTAACGGGACCCATAGGGAAAGGAACATCGCCCTCCACACAACCGCCAATAACTACCTCCCCTCTACGACCCTATCTAAGAACGTCTTATACCAATCAAAACTTTATTAGACGCAAGCATACTTTAAAATGCCCCTCCCGGTCGAGTTTGTCCTATAGTACAGGCGTATTAGAACCCAGAGCTGACGATTGAACAGGCTACCTTACTATTATCATACTAAATCTAAGGGCCAACTTCATACATAGTAGCAGCTAAAAAGAAGCCGCATACAATTCACCAACTCCTGCTCGTACTAAGCTACCTCTTCATTTCTACAATACTTCCCGGGGATAAAGGGGCATTATAGTATATCATCTATCGTAGCGGAAATAACTAGGAAAAAGGGTTTATTTTACAATACGATAGACTACTATCATAGTTCATCGCCGCACGCGAGGCTTTAACCCGATCTAAAGCCCTCCACAGCATATCTCTAGAAGATTTAGAGCTCCAGATCAGGTACATCCTGTTCATTCTAGGACAACATACATCGTGTGATTTAAGCTTCCTTCACACATACTATCAGCGACCACTTCCTCCATACCGGCCTTTTAGGACCAAAGCCAGTGTCGCGCTAATTTGCCACGCCTTTATAGGAATCCAAGCCGCAGACATAGACGGATATAAGTCCAATAAGATCTAGGTATATGGCGAAGAATTTCTTTCCACGATGGCTTTCTAACTCAATAGATCGCCGCTTTTTCAAGCCGAGATCTCAATACACCAACTACAATCGATAATCCTGAGCCTTCAAAGAGCCTTCCAGCTCGAGGAAGTCCGTGTCGCCTCAACAAAGCCGCAGAAGATCCTCATTGGAAATGATTCAGACCGGATGGATTATTATCGACGAGCATTTTCATCGTTGAACCCAATGCTATTACCGAAGATCTTGATATCAGCACTGGGGTTAGACCCGATGGCTAATTTGAGTACAGACTGCCTAGCTACTCTCCTTGCAAAGATCTTCCACGATACGTACCCGATGAAGGATTTAGAAGCTACTTTTAAGAAGGTTCCCGAAATTCTACTATCAAAGCCTGATCGGATCGTGGCTACGGAAATGTTTCACGTCAAAACATTCGAGCAAGCATGTCAGCTTGAATCTTGGTGAGTACCCACCACGCAGGACAAGCAGACAAGAACCTGACGGCGATAGCGACTACAGATAATAGATCCCACATCTTTGTTTTCCATGTCTCACTCGGGACAGGCATGTAAAAAGAATTGTCAGATATACAATGGCGGAGATTTGATCCTGCTCGAGCGAAATCGCTAACATGACGCAAGATCGTATCGGCGACACGGGGAGAACTTCAAGTGGACCACGGTTGGCGTGACTTGGCCCGCGTTACGGCGATCACCACTTACCGTACATCACTACAATAGCCATCGTGAACGGCGATCGACCGCTCCTTTCCTGGTGCAACCCAAGATTCAGACAACGTCGTTGCAAACTATTTTCTGAATACATTGTTAGCACCTCACTAGTGACTAAACTAAGGATGTATAACTACTGTCACATAAGCGAATTTGCTCTTGAAAAAGGTTGCTTAAAGTCCTTGCGAATAGGTCATCAGAAAGAGGATTTTGACTCCTTCTATTCATTAGTTTACCTGTCTACTAATTATTAAGGACCACACGCCCATCCGAATACCTCCTACCAAGGACAAAACGTAAAGCGGATAAGTGTGCCAACCATATATAAGACTAACATGCGTCTCGGACAGTTCCGGTAACAGCATAGGCGGTAACAGCATAGGCGGTAACAGCATAGGCCCCAAGAAACGAGAATCCTTTTGACCCTTTTTTACAACAGCACTAAGTTCAAGCGATTATTGCCCTTCCGTTCTAGGGGATAAGTAAGAGAAGATACTCACTAGTGAGTCTATAGAAGAGTTAATCTAAATGACACGTTCGTAATGTTAGTCAACGACCCAAACAATAGGACCCTTAAAAATTATTGAAATATCTCGATTTTGACCGGATAAAGGTAAAAAGGGTAACTTGCCTAGGGATTATCAGATTTCTTTACTGGTAGTCTAGGAGAGAGCCGAGTGCCATCGCCGAATTCTAGTTTCTTACAGCTAATTACATCGCTACTAGATAGGGCTCTCTTCAGCCAAATTCAGCTAAGAGCCCTCGAAAGAGGTAAGTTATCTAAGGAATAAATTTTGTGTGTCTGGAAGATTAAGTTATTTTAATAACTTCTGTACTAACCATGAACCTTTGAAAACAGCACGCCTCCTAGCTTAGCCAAGGAAACTACAGAACCAGTAAACCGGTCCAGGGGATTGCCCTAGCCTATTTTAATACACGTGCGGTCAGACATACTTCAATAGTTCGATCAGGCTGCAATTTTCGCAAAAGGTACAGTAAAACATTTGAATTTTCCGAGGCCTGCCACTTGGAGACACGGGAGATACAGGACATAGAAAGAAATCCACCGATCATATATATCCACGGCCACCGGATGAACTCAGTTAAAAGACAAAACGGCAACTCACGCGACAAAGTGGCCCCGATAGGTGAATGCTTTCATTTCTAGCAACCCACTGTAGAACTTGAAAAGCTCGAGTTCGAAAGGATCGTGGTCGGTACTGTTAGCGCAACTGAGACTCGGGAGGATATGGCGTCAAATGGCGTCGGCAGGGGATTTTTGCTTAGCATCGGGGTCCATAACTGCCGCCAGCAGTGTATAAGCTACCCTTTTGTAGCGCTTTGTCGACCTTGCAACTTGCTTCATCTCCTCCGTCATTATAAAAGTAGAGTAGACCATTTCGATACACTTCTACCCACGCGGAATATCCGGAAGAGATACAGAGATTGACTTTGACTGTATCGGACTCGGATTTGGTGTCGTTCCGCGCTGTAATCAGATCTGGGATCCGTTAGTACTAGCTCTTCATCCAGAATGGGCATCTTACTAGAGCAAGAAGTGCCATTCAGAGGGGCAAATAGCTCTAAGATCCCAGTACAGTCGAAGATCTCCGTAGAATACACGAAGCATCGGTCCTCATAGTCCATTATCTAAAGCGTCCCGGCAAGAACCACTGAGATGGGGGTGAAAAATGCTAGTAAAAGGTGCATTTCTAATTCACTCTAAGAGCTAGAATACCTGTCCAGTAGGAAAAAGGATTGTATCTTGCTGGCTGTCGCGTATGTGCATTTATAGTTTCAGTTCGGCAGCCTAGAAGAGATAATTATTCAGAATCCATCCAACTCGACAAACATTTCTGGCGCCATCGAAATTCTGACTTATTCTAGACACCGTACATATATACGAGGAAGAAAATGGCAGGTGGCAACAAGTTGATGCTAAAAGGGATTCAGGATAGTAGTATTGAAGGTTATGGCAGAGGCCTTCTACAGACCTATCTTCGCCAAAAGGGCCACGTCTTTCCGCGGTAAGCGCAAGCTCCTATCTATTCTAATCTTCTATACTAATTTATATAGAGATCGAGTATTCTCTATCTATCGAGATGAACGCCCTAATGCGCGTCGCCGTCGGACGCTCGATCTTCAGCGCCAGCGGCAAGCGTATCACTCGCCTGGTCCGAATCATGTATAGCATATAGATGGTTATATGAAACTGTCGCTTTATGGTATCGAGATCTACGCTACAATTAACGGATATTCAAGATACATTCTCTGGGTCTACATTGGTATTTCTACCAGGACTGCAATTAGCGCTTATAAGCAATATGTTGATACAGTATCAACTTTTGGATATCTACCACAGATCCTTCGTACTAACCTTAGCGGCGAGACAATCTATCTTAGTGACGCCCATTGGGCACTTCGCCGTGTGGCTAATCCAGATATCCCACATGCAGATTACTATTCGTATGGCAAGAGTACTAAGAATACTCGTATTAAGGCCTGGTGGGCGTAGCTCTCACGATCAAGCGTCTTTATATGGCGTATAAGTAGTAAATCCTTATAATACTAAGGTGAAATTCTTTCTGATCTATCTTAGAATTACTTTGGAGCCCTTCGAGATGAGGGTCTCTTCTCAATCACAAGCCTTCCTGACCAGGTTGCTCTTCTTGCGATTTTCATGCCTATATTACGATCAACTATCAATTCATATGTAGGCACATAGAACCGTCATCGAATTCGCAAGCAACCAAAGCGCCCATAGGTAGTAGCAGGAAAGCCAATTATCCTATATAACGATTCAACTAGGCAAGACCTAAAGCAATTAGCAGATCCTACACTTCTTGAGACCTTACGCCAGGATACAGCCGATTAGAATACAGATAAGTATCTTCCATCAGATACCCTAGTATAGTATATGCACCAGCTAGAAGATATGGGGTTTAACCCATTAAATCCTCCGCCGAGGGACGATTCAGCCTAGCCATACAAATCAATATATCTTAAGCTCAGGCAGCGGGCAATCTTACATACACAATCAAGCAATTCACCAATCCTTCAAATCTACGAGCGGCTAACACAGGGAAATTGGGAGAATTGGCAAGAAAGGCGATACTAATCGTGAGATTTATATATAGTATACAGTTCAGTATGATTCGTATATAATTGCATAGAAAATTGTGTGTGAGTGAAACTAGAAGAACAGCCGAAATCGAGATTCTGCCGGATCAAAATTCGCTGACTAAGGGTTATGGCGGAGTCCACTACGGCGGACTAAACAAGGGGTCACAGACTTTTGAGGCGCCACTATACGACTTCGGTTAATTACCGGGACATTTCTCACCGTTGCGACCAGCGTAGCGGAGGCCGACGCTCACATTACCACCGCATAACACCGTTTCTGGAGACGGGCCGTGAATATATAGACGGACATTCACACCCTTCCAGAAACCCACCCGCTCCGCAGGAGTACAGACTGCATAAAGAAGTTCAGGAGATACCACCGTTCGCCGCTGTACCAGGTGTCGGACGCGCTGAAAAATATTGAGATAGAAACTCTAGAAACCCTCAATCCGTTCGTGTTAGCACCGTAGGAGACTCGCATACAGAGCGATGTTGAAGCAATGCCGTACTCGCACACCGTACCGGGCGGATCATTACAAGTTACGGTCGGCAGTACAGCACGAAACGGCCTCGTAGGTTTTAGGGTAGCGATCAAGAAACAGCCACCTCGATATCGGAAGCTAAAACTAAAGACCTTTTCCACGACACTAGGCCCAAGATTAGAGCAAAATCCATTCTTCGCGGAACTAGCAGCACTAGCACACACATTGAATATACTAGTAGGGCTAAAAGGCTACAGGATCACACTACTCACGAGCACTAAAGTAGCGGCCCTCACAATAAGGAATCCTCGGTAACAGTCAGGCCAGGAGTTCGTTTACTAAGCGTACAAGATAATAAAAAGGTTACGGAGAAACGGAAACCACATTAATATCCTATAGATCCCTACTAACGTGGACAATAAACTACTAGGCCTAGCTAAAGAGTAAGCTAGGATCGCGACCTAGGAGGATACCCCCCTATAAAAAGCTACCCCTAGGATAAAGTCGACAACACTAAAGATCGCTCGGTCTTAAGTAGCTCCCAGCAATAACTTGCCGGAGAACGTAGGAAGACACGTGAAACGAGTCGATATAGCACTACCAGGGAAACATACTCGATAGCTATACGATCGATTATCGTGGAAGGAAGCGAGCGTGCTAGCCTAACTCCGGACTAGTATAGCCAGACTCAATAGCTATCTCTACCGGATTAACGCTACAGACATAGACTAGTATGTATATAGACAAGTAAGTGAGACCGTGGAACACTTCCTCTTCCGATGTTGGAAATAGACCACACAACGAATAGCACTGCTATAATGTAGCCAAACTCACCGGGGCAATCTCTCCTTCTTCTTGGGCGGGAAATCATCCTCTGATAATCAGTAATAGACGCCGAACTTAGAAGCTATACGAGCCTTAATACGATTCGCGATCGCCACGGGCCGACTCGACACCACCTAAGCACGTTAACTAACGTAACGACACCCCCCCTTCACTAACCTACACCTACCACCTTATGCCACAAATTATAGACGCGCTTCAACTGCCGAAGATAGGATATTGAACACTTGAAGAAGCGCCTTCAAGCCAGTCTACTAACCAACTTACTAACCCACAAGGATCCCTTTATTATTAATAGCTAAGAGGACATATACTATAAGGATCCAGGTATAGGCTCGAAGGAGACACGGCAGATATATATTAGGACGTGTATCGATAGATTAGTTTTAGTTACCCTTTCGGCTTAGCCGCTAGGCGTTAATGAATTATGTGTGTGTGTGTGTACGACTTCGGTGTAACAGAACGGATGGATAGATACCATCAAAGCCCCCATCGAGACATACATAGTACACCTAGCGATACGTAACACCCAACATTATCATTCCGTGCCTCGGCATATCGGAGAATCTGTCTTCCAGAAATTACACCATTTTGACCAAAAGTATTCCACCAGACAGACCCAAAGTTGAGAGTAGTACGACTTGATAATCGCATTTTTGAAATCTGTTCATTGTTCTCAATGACGCGATTTTGACTAAGCAAAGACCCATCTAAATGCCTCTTATCTCGTCTCAATTTCCCTTTAAGTAAATTAGGTTTATAAGTAGAACAGGTAACGGTGCCACTACCTAATTGCTAGTGTTAGTTGAATTACCATTTCCAATACGTTTTGTACAAAATCACCCTCTTAAACAAGTTTTTAAATTATTATCTTGGGGGGCAAGCAGGGGTTCCTGCATAATCGACATATAACGACGGTATTAAACTCGGGGCGGCTCCATACTGTCGATCAGACGTACTACTAACGCCGGAAGCTAAAACATTATCACCAACCGCGCCAAGATATCGGCTCTGATTGGTTCGGACAGAGTACTCAGATACTTATTACTATAAAACAGGTGAGCCGTAATAGACTGTAGAGCGACTTAGATACTTAGTGGTCGCGGAAACACGGCACGGCAAGGTACTTTTATCCGGTAGAGTGCTAAAGACAGTAAATATAAAATTCTTCCAGCTCCGAGTATTAGACGAGAATTACGTCGGTTAATTCAGTATAACTCGCCGTTCCATCCTGAGTCCCTAAATCACCTACTCAGTAGTCGCTTCGCCAGCAGGGATCTACCCAAAATGATTACAGGTAACCTAAGCCACCCAAGTACGATTTCAAATTAGTTACCCATCCCGATTTATACTCGAACTAGTCACACACTATACACTAAACAAACCGATAATATCGATCGGTTACAGCCAAGCCATGCAAACATCTTAGCATAACTAGGAGTTATGCTCGAGTTAGCGCGATCGACTAGTTAAGTTAAGTCTGCGCTTAGCCGAACGGCCTTTAGCACGGATAAGGGACATTTTTTGATGAGATGATCCCTCTGATCAAGAAGGGTAAGATCTTCATTTAGAGAGTAATACGTTGAAACAACTTCACAGGGGAAAATAAGTCACACTCTGTCTCATACGGTGCATAATAGCACTGTACCAAAAGTCGTAGAAGGCTGTTGAGGATTAGCCCTTTATTCTCTCACACCGTATAATTAATTAGGGTTCTCATGTCATTCTATTCATCCGATAAAGTCTATACTCAAAGCCAGACATAGCTCTACCGTCCTCGTGAGCTACTATAGTCACGGAGCGCCAGATAAATATTCATCTACGTCTTAACACAGTAATTTCGGGATTTCAGGACACTTTATACAGTTTTTGATATTGAGACATCCAATTATAGCAGGTTGGAACCCAGTGGCTTTGCTTAACAATATCTCCATCATTTTGCAAACAAGACTAGCGTCCAACAATGCTCCTGTTATTAGACGACCTCGAAAGTCACTAGCCCAATGAGTTGTTGCTCAGTTCCTCTGTTGCAAACACGCTGTAGTTTTGCAATGGCACACCCATGTCGGCGCGCTTCAGGTTAAATACCACGCGATGCGATTCATCTATTTTTTCAATATCTCAGCGGTCTTCCTAGAACATTCTCTGCACATATAATGGGTTATCGTCAACGTGCGATACACTCCATTCCCATGACCCTTTACATCCATTAGTATTAGATCAATTCACCTCCACGCTCAACTTACCGTCACGGATCAGAATATGTCGAGAAAGGGTAAAAACTGAATTCAAGGGGTTGTGGATGTATATAACAATCAACTAACGTTCAGACATGTCCATAGAAACAGATTCAATGTCAGAGCCGGGGCCGTCATTGATTTCAAGATTGACGGCATCCATATTACGCTTACGCTGTGATCAGATTTCCAGAAACTTCAGTGGATTTAATTGATTAACAGCGGAAATAGGGGGATGTTTGGCGGCTGTTAGAGGAGATATCTCTGCAAATACTATTCCAATTACTCCGCTCACCACGGTGTATATACCTACTTTCAGGTAGCAAAACTTCGTAGCTATACGCAGCTTTTTCCACCCCAGGGAAGAATCTATACCCCTAGGAAGGGCCCTAACGTTCCTAGATACTTGCGGCTAGGCCCTAGGAGGGTAGATAGTGTTCCCAGAGCTCTATAGGCTCCCAGAGCCCAAATTCTTTTTTTCCAGGAATCACCTTTCATGCTCCCAGGTCCAAAAATCACCGTTCCCAGTACAGTATGAGTGGTTATTTAATTTAAAACGATCGCAAGTGCCTCGTAGGCAGCCCTTTGTTTAATTCTCAGCATCATCATGTGGTCCGAAGCTATCCAGTACTCTGTTTTCATAATAGTCTTGTCGGTCGTAAATGGCATACGGATTGCAATTTTTCATGCCCGACACCCTAAATATCGACTACAAATCGTGGATCTAACGCAATGAATCATACTTTTTAGCTATCCTATCGTGAGCTTCACTTTGACCTACAGCAATGCCAATAACTACAACGTTAGTGTTACTCTTTTAAGAGGAATCATTCCGGTGCTCATACCAATTCCTTAGGTAATTTAATGCAACGCTAGGCTAGTAGATAAGAGCTAACACGAACGCATCAGTATTGCCGAATCAGTCTCCAGCTAATCGGATTGGATAGCGCTCCTCATCCTTCTACCATCAGGCTACTATATTTTGTCCCATTCTCTATTTTGAGTAAGATTGCAGTCACGATGGTGGGTATATTTAACGACCCCTCCATATAGGTTGGAGTGGCCTTCCTACTCTGTCTTGATTATATTACTATGTCTGGTTTCTACTAGTGGCTACGAGGGCGAACCCTACGGGGGTATTCAGCTCTAGTCCAAGTAAGCTACATTGCGATTATGCTTTCATGTCGTTCACTTCTTCTACTAGTCGTCGCCGTCATTAGTATTGTCTTAGATCGTTGGTTATTATCGCTAGAGGTAAGCCATAAAAGCCTCCTTATACCCGAAGACGTTCTGACCGTAGTAGCTGCAGATTCCAATTTTCTGCTATCTTCACTTATACTACTTCTTCAGGGTAAAGTAGCTAACTATAGCTCTATAGATACAAGGACACGCCTCAGATCGCTAAGCACGTGTGCATAAGAGCTACTAGCCACGCAATAAACACGACAAAAGACACTTACTTTCCGTCAGGTTACTATTCTCTGTAAATAAATGCACTTTATGTAAAGGAATTAGTCACTATGCTATAGGTAATCCGGGCAACTAGGGAGTTACAGTACGGTCCACTACCAAAGAAGGGGTCCAAAGAAGAGATCATGGAGATCTAGCCACACTTCTTGGAGAATATCCTATCCGAAATTTAAACTATATATCATAATAGAAATATCTGTTCAAAGACTAAATTCGTGGGAAGACTTATGAGGGCATCATCCACTCTGTAATATATTTTATATTGCAAAAGCATATCTAGCAATTACTAATATTTGATTTCTTCCGGGCTTGCCTTTAAGTGATATCCTCAAGAAAGCGGACGAACCAGTCCCCGGCCACCTACTACGACAATCCCTCCGTTTCATTCTTCCCTCCTTGTGAATCTTCAGGTAAGACATTCAAGTTCCCAGTGGAAGTGCTGCTCCACTCGTTCAGTAAGCGAAACATCCCCCCGCCGAGCATCCATCAGCTTCTGCTCTACGGCATGAAAATAATAAAGCTAGTTATCGTGGGTCTTTTTCAGATGGTTTCCCTCCAGCTGTAGCTACGAATTCATAGTTCGTAACTGTTGATTACCCACTTCAAGACGCTAACTATCGATCTGTTTAGAAACTAACGACTCCCACAGACGGCGGAAGCGACTCAACAAACGAGCACCCTGAGCCGCCGCTTTAGGGTCATCGTGCTCTATCTATGCTAAGGCCTCAAGGACCGCGCGAAACGGTTCTATAGCTAACTTTCGTTTCTCCTCTTCTGCGTCTACATCACAGACGTAGGACTGCTACCGTTAGCGGGATTCTCTAGATGTCGGGAAGCTCTTACCGAAAAGAGCTGGAGAATCTTGGGGATCTTAACCTCGCTTGTATCTGGTTGCCCTGGCCGTAACATATCTTCACGCTCACATTTCTCCACGGGTGGCTGGGTTGAAGCGTCTATTATGAGATAGTCTAGGAGGAATGGCTAGGATAGGGCTGTTACTTTATAGTCGGTATTTCTTCTCTATCCAACTTTAATAACGTAAGCCTTGTTCGGGAGACTAATATTCAATTAATCATGGGCAGATTTTGCATGATGAAGTCTCGCGTTTTGCACACTGGGTCGATAAACGCCTTCATCTAAAGGTTGGTCTCCCGTTGGTTGATGGTCCTTTCACACCCCTTAAATATGATATATATATATGGTATAGGACGCATTCATGGTGTCTTCTGCCCGGAACCATTCCTATCTATTTGTGTACCGGTTATTAGTTGTGTCAACGTTAAAACACTACATCCGGTGCATAGCGAGAATTCTATTTATATGCCTCTTAATGATGGACTGCGAGGACAGGCTGCTTCTGTACTATACTATGCGGGTGGAAAGTGCCGTACGATGGGTACTTAGCCTGTTCGTCTGGTTAGCGCCGCCCATCTGCTTAGCTAACCAAGGGTGTGGCAATATTATTTTGCATAATAATTGCCGCTTTCCTCTATTAGTTAAAGGAGTAGCACATAGCACAGACCTAGACACTGAGCTTAACCCCCAACATAAGCTCTCCCAGCCATTTCGCCTTATAGTTAACGATGTAGGAAGCTCCCTCAAAGTCTCAATAGCGTGGAGAAGCTCCAAGGTTACCTAGATAGAGTATAGTGCTTATTTCGGAAATGAGAACACTACTCATTATCGCTCCCCCAAAATGGTCTATTATGATCTTTCGAAAATCAATAACCCATCGAATACTGAGTATGGAGTCCGGATTGAGCCAAGCTATAGTGGATGTCCAACCATTAATTGCCCAGCACATATATATCGATGTGAATCCACCTACTACCAGCCTAACGACAACTTTGTAACTAAGGCTTACAATGTTAGTATAGATCTGAAGGTTACATTTTATCCGCAGTCTAAATGACGTCGTGCTAGACCACGGTTAATACCGATCTTGGTGCTGAGTTCAGATCGGTGTGTACTACCTAGAGGGAACGTAGGCAATAGGAAATATTCCGGCACCTTTAAATTTTGATCACACCTTTATCAGCTAGGTTCGAGCATCTTAAGCCCGGAGATAGGCTTAAGTACATGTTCACTGTATTTAACTCTGTTCTTAGTTATTACGTGTGGGTACTATATAGAACGGAGAGAATTTTAAAAAAAAAATCTTCCTCTTTTAGAAAGTAGTTTTCTTTCCTAGTGTCCGATTCAAACTAATTTGCGAGGTACTAAGATATAGTAAAAGAAACAATCATCATCATCTACAGTTATAGACGGAGATATATTAGTACTAGAGATATTCAGATTCGCTATACGTTTAGAGAGAACCCCTTTACTATCATTCTTTAGCCGGTTCTTCGAAACGTCTTTACAAGTCGATCTGATATTAAATAGCGCTTCTCACAAAGCTATTCCCCGTCCAACTCGCGTCCTTCATAGAGCGGGTCGACAACCTACTGTCTTGAAGCAGTTCGTTAACCACCTATATATGTCCTCGCCTAGCTACCAGGAGCAACGGATACTCAAAATGATTGTTCTCCAAGTTTAGATTAAGATCAAGGTGCTATGATAGTGCCCTTACGATCTCTACGTTTCCATAGCGGGCCGCGATATATAGGGCGGTATCTCCAATCAAGTAGGTACGCTCGTTAACCAACAGCTTTTCACCTTAACTCACAAGTAGCTAGACCGTCTTTAGCGTCCCAATCTCCACGGCTTAGCAAAGAGGTGGATCTCCGCCTCTCGCATTAAGGGCAATACCCGGGAAGTCGACGAGCAACTCCAACGCATCATTTCGCCCCAACTCCATAGCGAGTTCCAGAGGGGATTGTCCTCCGGCTTTTTAATTCACATCAAACCCCGGCGTCTCCAGCCAGGCTTATAGAATCGTTGTATCTAGCCTTAGTATAGCGTAGTGTAGAGCGGTCGAGGGCGTATCGTACTTCCCGCGACCACCGATGAAGTTAATATCCACACCTCCATACCTAAGAAACCGTTTCGTAATCTCATCGTACTGTAAGCGTGATGCCATCTATAGCGGCGTGTTACCGTTCTTACTAAGGGAATTAGGATTGATACCGGGATAGGCCAAGAGAAGATCAACCAGTTCAGGGGAATTCATTCGCACGGCAAGATAGAGCGGTGTGTCACCGTTCCGATCATACCTTTACAGATCATCTTTTCTTTCCCCGAGAAGTTATTTAATTGCATTAGGTGAGCTATATAATATGGCTTGGTGTAGTGGTAGATCGTCGCTCTCCACAATTTATTGCCGAAGGGCCATAGGAAGCAGAGGGTGCGATATTATCAATTCCGCCATCGAATCCCGGTTTACCTAGGTCGCTAAATCTCGTGAAGAGTGGCCGGCGTAGTTCTTGATATAAAGGTTAGCTCCGCGCAGCAATAGCATTCGTATAATACCAATTCGGCCTAGGAAGACCGCCAAGTATAGCGCCGTTCCTGCTTAGCTATATTACGTGTGAAGAGCAAGGCTAGATTGATGCAAGACCTTCTCTAATAGCTTCTTAGCGATACTAAATCTGGCGTATCTGACGATATACCACAAGGCGTCTTTCTGTTTACTATTCTGTAGGGAGGCATCCAACTTTAGGTACTTATATAAGAGCTTAATCACAGCCCCTGACGAGTGCCTGACTACTCTCATCAAAACAGTCTCTCCTCGAAAAAACGAATTCATATTAG